AATTACTAGTATCAATAAGTTATTATAGTAGCTTGTGACCGTTACATAAGAGGTAGTTCTTTTGCTGCAGTGGCGTTGTGGACAACACTTCGGCTTTTGAAGTGGTCGTTTCTGGATTCGAGTCTCAGTGGGAACAATATCGTCCGCAGGGGTGCAAGCACATACAACTGATGAATCCTAAATCGGACGAAAAGGGCATCCTGGATTCCAGTGCTAGACACCAGGAAGCAAATTACAGCCTAATCAATATTCAGACAATAGAAAGGCATCCTCATTGGGGTCCAGTCCAGAATAACAACCAAAAATTACAAGAACTAATGAACGTTGATCATAATATGAAACTCGTTCAAAAAGTATGTGTGTGGAAGGTTGGTGATACTGGTGATGATAATGGTGATAACGATTGAAGTCGGGGGGAAACAAGTGAGTTGTAGTGGAATTGAAACTGAAGATTCGGGGAATACCAGCCTGATATTCTATCACGTTAACCGATCAGACTCTAGTTTCTTTTTCAACCAGTGGTTATTGTATGCCAGACAAGATTGGGAAGCCCTGAGGAAAATTTGCAATATGTCTAAATGGAACAGTGCACTAAGTATATTTCGATAATACTAACTAAGGATGGAAATTTCTTGGATAAAACTAATCCATTTATGTTGACTGATGAACTCCTTCTATAAATACTTCAGTGTATCCAATTCAGTTTCTCAGGATATTCATATCAATTGGACATATTCCCTTCAAAACGACTAGTGAAATTGAAACATTATAATTTGTTTATCAAATGTATCACACAGTGAAACAGTATCATTTACTACATAACGATCGATGACGGTGCGTATGTTTTACTGTGACACTAGTGAAAAATAGTTAAGTGAACACCAGTGTCCCTGGACAACAGTCTAACAAGTCCAAGTAGCTTACTAGACTAGCTGAAATTCTAATAACAATGCGAATATTTGAAGGAAGCCCTTCACAACAGTTGCGTGTCGATATTTATCGCAGATTTTTTTAATCAGCTGCAGAACTACTTAGGACCTGAAGGCATTGCTTAATTATTTTTTCCTAGTGTGAGAGGGTGTGAACCTACGACCCTGCTGAGATCGAACCCAAGACCTTCACATTCTGCGGCATGCCCGTTACCATTGAGTCACTGGGTATCAAACTCCGGGGGATTAGAAAAACATATGAACCATTGGATTCCGACTCAGTGGTCCAACACCAAGGTTCTGGCCAAGGAACATGAAGGTCTTGGGTCCGATTCCCAGAGAGGTCATGGATGCGTATTGCTGTGGAGTCCCAGACTAGAAGGAGACAGTTCTCTACTGATCCTAGGTTTTCAATGCTTCTTCAACCTTTCCCAGTCAGTGAGGAAAATATGAACTTGAAATCAATAAATAAATCCCCGCAAACACAGTTTTTATTTACTATGCGGTCTATGGAATTCGTGCGAGTTAATTCAGTCGTTAACCAAACGTGAGTAGTTACATCAGTAACGAAGGACACACTGTATTGAAGCAGAATGGTTTCTTAACGTAGACTACCACTCATGAGTTAAAATGTTAGAAATGCTAACTAAGCATATGGGGACGGTTTTACCTTTCAGGAACCAGTTAGTCGGTAGCATACTTGCGCGAATTCAGCTGAAAACAGTGAGACGCTGACAGTACTTGCTTGTGACCAACTAAGCCGGGCAGAAAATTGATGCTGAACAGTGACTAGAAGGTTTGGAAACTGTTCAGACAAAATCCATTGGTTTTCAACACGGGCTTCTGCTGATAACCATCAACCAGCAACTACAACAACTTTTGTGGCACTTGTTTCACAAGTAAGTGGTAAAAAGCCATTAGGCCATGAAAAATGTAAAAAAGGGCTGTTCAACTGAGACACACATACATACATGCATACATACATACATACATACATACAAAATATAGAAAAACACTTTTAGAAGTCATGTTGTCCAAAATACAATCAGTCAGATACTGTTTTCTGCAATCAGATAGACAGTTTTGCATTCGCAAACTAACTTAACTGTAACCGAGTGATGATTGAAGGTGAAATGGAAATTTGGACCAGATTTTCTACCAACTGACCTACGAGGTCCGACATTTTTATTTCACTTCAATCACCAAGGGTTTTGCCCAACTGCCAACTACCGCTTAATTGTACTCAAACTGGCTCCCCAGTCAGAACTTCTGATCTCAATCCCAATCTAAGTGAATTAAAGATGAAGGGCATCGTATTGATTATCTTTTTGACTTACTGGCTATCCTTCAGACCTCGTAGCTCGGTTGGCACTGGGCTGGGTATCCAGTGGTCACTGGTTCTAATCCGGCCGCGGTCCAAATTTTCATTTCACCTTCAGTCATCACACAGTATCAATACTAATCTGCCAAAACCACAGCTACTCCAGATAGCCAAAACGATAATTAACTGTTACCATTTGCACAAATATTATTCGCACAGTTGAACTGATGCAGACTGCACGATCAACTCTGAAAGTATTCAATCCAGTAATAGTATGATTGTTCCAACACAAACTAATGATGAGATTAGCTTTGGATATGAAAATACCTTGTGGTAAATAACCAGATCTTATCACGAAAGCCTACAGAACAAGTTCAACACTGACAAGAAAAGTTTATGAAGTACTTCTATAGTCGTTTCATCAAGTGATTCACAGTTTCAGTCAAATGAAAATTTATCACTCGCCGATTCTTGGGATTTATTGTTGCGACGCTTCTTAAAGCTTACTTTAGTTAGGTAAACCGGTAGTTTACAAAACTATTTATTTACCGTTCATTGAAAGGGGAAGAGATAGTTCCAATGATTTGATATTGAATGAAGTGATTTATGGTATTTGAATTTTAAGCCCCTTAGGTGTCTGATTATGAGTAGCTTTGATTGGTGAGGATTGAATTAACTGCATGTAACAATCTGGACCAATCACAGTCGTTTAATCCACATCTAGGTTAGTTCAACCATCTGTTGGGATTCGTCATTTATATTCACAAGTATCAGTCAAAATAGGTCAGACAGTAAGAGAATAAAGATGTAGCTAGCCCAGCTTCGGTTCTTAACTTTCAAGTAATCAGTGCTGGGTTTACACCTTGCTTCACCCGCTTCGAAATGGGCAGCTGGGTAATACCTATCACCACAAGCGCATATATAATAAGTGTGGCCCATTGTCTATGAAGGTGTCTACCGCGTTGACCTGAGTTTAATAGATAATGAATTTTTTGCGAGTATCCATAGAGAAAGTACTATTTAAAATAGTTTTCAATCAAGGTTAGCATCATTACTAATTAATTATTTACTTTATGCACAGAGGAATTGGAATTTATGTGATGAGACAGGTCGTTAATAATGGAATTGTGGCACCTCAAGGTATTTTACAACCCCTAAATAGTTAACGTAAAAAAAAGTACATATATATTCATCAATTTAAAGAAAACAGTAAGCAACAATATTCTAATAAGGGAGGTTTAAAGTGAGTATGTGTGATATGAGCAATGACCAAGAATTTGAAATAGAACGGAACAGTAATAATAACAATAATGTGAAATAAGTGTAAGACTGTTGTTCAGAAATAATGGAGAATATTTATAGCTCAGGTGGATGGTCTTGATTGTATTGCGTTCTCTGAGCTGGGTTGTTTAATTGTGAAGCTTTCATCGCCTTGCTAGACGACATCATCAGCACTAACTTCAGTACTGAGTCATACTCGGCGATATTCTCGAATGTGGTGAAGGATAGGCTTAGACGAGTGACCTACCTTCCTAGCTCCATAAGTGAACTTATAAACCCATATTGAACTGGTCATTCTTTGCAACTTATCCCTCACAGTGAGGCAAATATAACGGCAGTCAAAGATAGACATACTATTCAAAACTTAGTCTGAAAAAGTTCTAGTATACAGAATTCACAGACTGATTTTTGATACCCAACTATCGTCAACATTTTAAATTAATGCCAAGTCTTTCCAATGGGATGGTTCTATTCGCTTAAAATTTCTCTATTCTTTACAACTCTTCAGCTTAATTTATTGATTCATCTGCCAATGAATGACAATGAGAAAGATGATTGGTAAAACTATCCAGTTCCCCCCTCCCCCAAGTCATTACTGTATAAAAGTTTTCCAAAAGTTTACTAAAATCCGAATGGACATTTGTAGGTGATGAACAAAAGCAAAGTGAAATTACCACAAAGTGCTATCTACTACTATCACTGGAGAATAGTGGCACTGTGTACTAATTTACTGAATTTGAAAAGACACATCATTGTATTTTGATCAACTATGATCTCAAGTAACACGATATTATTCAGTGTTTAACTGTTTCCAATGGCTGGTAAACTGAAGTCACAATATGGAGAGAAAATGGTATTATTCTCCTGGAATCTTCCCAATTCAAGAATGAAGCAATTCATGGGTTACGAAAAGAAACAACAAACCACTAATACTTATCTTTTCTTCAGTTTTACCTCAAAAGTAAGCATTAAAACAAACAAATAATTACAAAAAACCGATAAGAGATGATTGGAGAACTATACTTACCGAATTGAATCTTTATCGATGCTGGTGATAAGTGTTCAAATAGAACTTCAGTGATTTCTGAAGCATTGAAACGTGGTCTTACACGTCTGCATACCAGGCACGATCCAGAACACTGTAAGTTGAGCCATCTGACACTCAAACATATTGTATACTTGCCGGCATCGATCCGAACCATTAGTTGAAGTTCCACTCCTACCGCTGCCGCCACCACTTGCACTGTTGCTAGTACTCACACCTCCATTTGTTCCGTCTACAGAATTCTGTTCAGTTTTACGATAGATAGAACTTTTCTGTTGCCCTGCTATTCCAGACCCACTTGATGGACATTGATATTTCCGCCTGTTGTGACTATAGTGTCATTCGATGTGAGATTTCTAGCGAAATGATGTGTGCATGTATTCGTTATAGTGCCTGATTGTATTGTTGTGGTGAGTATCGATCATTATTTAACACTTCTCCAATCTGTGGATTTAAAACCACCATCTCTTGTTGTCGAATCACCCAGCCTGTTGATGCATGATATATTGTTCAGGAGGTAGAGGTTGTAAGAACCGACCACACTGTACAATTGAATGATAAAAATTAACTAACAGTATAATCTACTGAATGATAAGAAATGGGTGCTGTGTAATGACAGTGAAATATAGCAAAGTAAGCAAAAAATTCGAAATTCATATCATGTTCGAATTTGCCCTACACAACTAGACCAATCATTCACCAAATATACTGACCTAATCTAGTCACAAGAACAACGTTTTTCTGTTGATAGGTCGATGATAAACCTACTGGTATTAATAGAGAATACAAATTAAGAACATTGGAAAATAAGACATATCAAAGCGGTCATGTGACAGTCTTGATTAATTCATATGACCAATGGCATAAAAGCACATTGTGCAGTACACACTATATTGGTGCATTGGCATATACACATAGACATACATAAGAAGCGTTTATAATCAGCACTATGTTTTATTTGCTACCTATATAGTTGTTTGTCGACATTGATACCACCTTTATTCGGGACAACGATATATCTAAGCCAAGTCTAATGATTATCAGTTCAGAGATAGGTGTTTGTACTTTTTCTCAGTGAGTGAATGAAATTTCCAAGTGCGATTGTTTGTGAAGGATGCTGAAACACGTGAGCCAATTAATTTAACTGTATCAAAGCAGCAGTTGGCAATAGTATAATTACTTTACTGGATCTCGTGACGAGGTCTTTGTAAGTCCTTCAACACTGTCTACAAAAGATCCATTGTACTGCACTGTTTGGAATATATATATATATATATATATATATATATATATATATATATATATATATATATATATATATGGGTTTAGTGATACTGAGTTGATGTAAAGGAGAAATGATGACGAAAGCCGTAAGCACACATCGTGGACACTGATAGACCTTTAAAGTGTGTGTCTGATCTGTGTGAGTGAAGTGGGTGCAAAAGAAGAGAGAAATGAAATTAAGAAACGACAATTGTGAGAAACGCAGGGTTCTCAATACACCGTACTGATAATGATGCTCGAGGACTGAGGTGTGGTGTAGTGGTCAGTAAATAAGTGAGCCTGACAGGCGACTTTAAAGGCCGTTTTGGCAACTGCTGAAATAACTAATCAGGTTTCGATATTTCGTCTACAAATGTAGTTTTTCATAAGATATACGATAGTAATTGGTTATCTCTGCGATTGTTATGGTGACCTTTAAAGTTACTCGAGCCTGACATGCAAACTAGAAAGAAAGTTTACAACAGTATGATGAAACAATAAATCTTTTTTTCATCAACTTGCATCAGTCCCCTAAAAGTGACATTCCCAAGGAGTTTCAAACTATTGGAGGGGGGGGGGGGGACTGAACTTTCAAATCTGTAAAGGCGTACAAATAATACTCTAATAGTATGGTCTGAATATTTCCATCAGATGTTGTGTCTAAATTTTACTACTTTGTAGCATTGATACTAGGTGATGGATGAGGATTGAAGGTAAAATGAAAATCTGCGTCACGGCAGAATTCGAAACAGTATTCTACCACCAACTGACCTACCAGACTCTACTACAGACAGGATTTTTATTCCACTTCTATCACTAACGGTTTCACTCGACTACCGTGTGAATCGTAACGCGTTACTATCGCTTGGTCGTACTCACACTTGATACCCATTCAGGACTTCTCATCCCAATCCAAAAGTACCTAAATTAGATAGGGGGGACAGCATACTGAGTATCATTTTGACTATCTCAGAGAGCTATGGTTTGGCAGACTAGTGATGAAATTATGCGATGATTGGAGCTGAAATGAAAATTTCGGGGCCAGTAGGATTCAAACGAGCACCCCCCTTGGGTGCGTAGATGAATCTCCTTAGTTCACTGCATGGTTAGCACACTAGACTGATAAAAGCTTACATGTATTCAATTTGAACTCCACTCACCCATAACACTGACTGTTTCGATATTGAAGTAATTTTACATCATACCTCTTACTGGCTATTGTATTTCACCTATTCTTATGGATTTCATAATTATAGAGTGTAAAAAAGAACCTATCGTAAACAATAGTTGTTAGCTCAAATCATTCTTTTTCCAAAAAGAAAATAATCAATTCACTCTGTCTTCTGACATTGATTCATTGACAAGATATGAGCAGTTTTCAGTTGACCATCTGAAGCAGCATCATTTCAGTGTATTCAATGATCATTATTTCTAGAGTTTGTTACTGCCTAACTCCTATGATCATACTTATCACTGGAACTTCTTAAGAAGATTGTTAAACTTGAACGGAAAACTTGTATTGTATAAATCGATTTTTTTTTTCAATTGCATTGGAACATTGGATTCTATGGTGTTTTTATGAAATAAAACTGTGTTTATTTATTTAAAAACAGGTGTAATCAAGCCTGAAAATAAAAATCCCTTCTAAAAATTCGTTGATGAGAAGTAAATCGCCACCCGTATAGCTTAGTAATAGCCTCTCTGACTACTACTCATTAAATAGACTGAGTTTCTCTCAGAAACAGATAACTTCGTGACAACTTGGCTGATTTTTCAACTGGAACTAAATATTTCATACAATTCCTTTGCAAATAAATTGAAACAAAGCGAAAACAACAATTTTAGCATAATTATTTCAGCTTTTCTTATCACCCGCTTAAAATCTAAAATAATTTCAATGTTAAATTGTACAAAAAAAATATGCCGGTTTGAATCATTTTGATAGAAAATTATTAGCTTGACAGAAAGATAAAACTGATATGACATTGAATTGGGAACAGTATCACCTACTAGAGTCCAAGTACACCCACCTGATGAATCCTAGATGGGACGAAACATGCATCTTGGATTCCACTGCTAGCCACCAAGTGAAATACAAAACCGATGTTATGTCAATGAAAGTATAAATAATAAGCTTGTCTATACATTTAAGGATTCAACGGATATTCTACAACAGAAGTTGAACAAAAAGGGTGGGTGGGAGGAAACAAAAACGCCTCCTGTACATTGAGATGTTTCATAAATAGTCTGCAAAAGATTAGAGTATTTAAACTGGGAAAGAAAAAAAGATGATGGGAATTGAGACAATGTGTATTTTCACAGGATGTATAATGTGATGCGACAGCTGTCTTAATTCGTAAGCAGCTGATGAGAAATCACGAAAAAAAATGGATGCATTATTCAGCTAAAAACCACGCCTAAGTAACTAGTATGCTAGTTACTAGCCCGTCCTAAACCCGGAGAAAGAGGGAAGGTTGGGCATATGGCTAGCAACCCTACCCCTGAAAACAAATTCAATCCCTAAACAAACTTCAAAGTACAAAAAAATTATGAAAAATAAAAACAAACTTATTCCTCTCCGGAATAGAAAAGGCGAAATAAAGCCAGCTAGTGAAAGCCTTCACGAAACCAGTCAGCCGATCTGTCTTCTCTTCCCTTCTCTCGATGAAAGCAAAAGTAAACATGGGGACATGGATTGTTCACACCATGTGTCAACCTACCAAGGCTGACCAGATTGCAAAACAGATGAGAAAATATGGCATAGAAGTGTCTGGCTGGGAATCTGTGAAAGCAGATGGAATACAACTGGACTCTCAAAACTGTCAACTGGAGAGTCAGTAATCTACTCTAATATTGTCACCCAAACAACAACCACCAGCACACTCAGTTTTCCAGTAGCCATCATGATGTCCCAAACACCATCGAACACACACACACTCTCTCTCTCTCTGTCTCTCTCTCTCTCTCATGCACTGGGAAACAATCTCCTCCTTCTGCATGATCACGATCATGACAGCAAGGTTCAACTCAAAAGGAAGCAAAGTCACAATGATTCAATGATACGCTATACACTGACAAATAAGTCAGATGAAGAGAAGGAGGAGGAATTCTACAGAAAACTGCAATCAGAACTGGACAAGACAAGACCTCACTCTAGTTGGTGACATCAAAATTCATTCTGATGGGTGAGGTGACATGAATACCAGCCAAAGTGGGTGTAGACAACACAGGCAGAGAACTCACAATGGGTCGAGAGACACCATTCAGTGAAATGATGTATGAGAATGGAGAAGTGTTTGCAGAATTCTGCACATTCAACGATTTGGTGATTGGAGGCGAGGCAGTGTGTACAAACACAAGGATATTCACAAGGCAGTGAGCGACATGGATTTGATTTCACCAGACACCAGGACACACTACACTGAGAATCATATCGACTTCATCTCAGTAGGAGGAAAGTGGAGATGGAGAAGCAGCCAGCCTAGTGGACAAGAGATGAGATGAAGAAGGGGAGCAGATGTAGGCTCATACCCTTCAATATCTAGTACAAGGAACCTACCCTGAAAATCAGGTTGAGAGATTTCAAAGAAGCTGGTGATAGACCAGAGTTCAAGTTGAACACCTAAAACAGAGAGTGAACTGCAGGACGAGATTACAAAGGACATCTTCTGTCAGTCAGTAATCAGGAAAAAAGGGAGACATGAAGCAAGATCCCCGAAGAAAACTGTGTAGAAGAACACTGGAACTCTTTGGAAGCGACGTGGAAGAAAACCAGCATGACTGTGTTAGAAAGGAAGAAGAAACAAGATAACGAATGGATCTCGACGGATACGTGGAAGGTGGTAGAGGAAGGAGAGAAAGATGGTGAAGTAGAAGACGAACCAGTGTAGTGTAGTGTAGTGTAGTGTAGTGTAGTGTAGTGTAGTGTAGTGTAGTGTAGTGCAGTGCAGGGATGAACAATGAAAAGAGGAACTGAACACAACTTATAAACCACTACACTGGACAAAGAAGTGGAAAAAAGTGAGCGCAAAGACAAAAGACACTTCTACAACACTCCGGCAAGTGAAGCAGAACAAGCTGCAGGTAGGAGAGACAGAGACCTGACAACATTACATCAAATAACCATGTCACTATCTGGGAGGGGACAGATCAACACAGATCACACCAATGAAAGATAGTGAAGGGAATCTAGTTACCAAGGAGGGAGGAGAAACAATGGAAACGATGTGCTGACCACTTCAGAAAACTCTCGAATCGATCTCCAACATCACCATCTGCA